ATTATCCTTGACAAACGGTACCCGGACATTTTGCCGAAAGAAACTTTGCCGAAAGACACTTTGCCGAAAGACATTTTGCCGAACGGACATTTTGCCGACGGTCATTTTGCCGAACGGACATTTTGCCGAACGGATATTTTGCCGAACGGACAGTTTCCCGAAAGGACAATTTGCCGAAAGGACAACTTGCCGAAAATAAAGATGTTATTTCGTCAAAATGTTTGGGACTGTGACTCATTTCTCAACTGTGTAATTCTCAACCATTGTGTAAAATAACCATTATATGGTTATTAGCAGTGCATAATGGTAATTAGCCGTGCATAATGGTTGTTATTACATGATTGACGCGGTTTTCTTTGTTATTCATAGACCTTTATTTTCCATAATGTCTTTCAAGTATATAAAAGCCCGGGGAGGGATTTGATATTCAGCAGGGAAGAGTGGGGCTGATGAATTGAATTGAATTACTAATTAGCTATTCTAGTGCAATATCTGTATATTGCGCTGAGCTCCAGTGCAATATATGTATATTGCACTCAGTTTGAGTGCAATATATCTATATTGCACTTGAATAATTATGTATTAAATACCTCATGAATAGTTTAATGAGGTATTTATCTAGATAAATACCTCATTAAACTATTCATGAGGTATTTAACTAGATATATACCTCATGAATAGTTTAATGAGGTATTTATCTAGATAAATACCTCACTAAAACTATATTCATGATGTACTTATCTGGGTAAGTACCTAATGAGAGGTTAGTCTCTTTCCCAACTCGATAAACGCTGTACCGTCTCCAGGCTAAATGCCTCGCTTCTCGGTAATTAACTCTTACTTAGCAGTGCATAACCATATTGACTATTGGTAGCTTGTTGGTGCAGCGGATGACTCATTTGTTTGGAACGTGTTTTGACGTCAGATCGTAAACAAACAAGCGTATATAAAGACGACGTATTTGCGAATTTCACTTCGAGAATCATGGAATACATTTACAGTTCTCGGGGAAATCACATTCATGAATGATGTTGAATGATGTTATTCTTTATATCGCGAATTTTCGGTAAACTTGTCAAAAACTTGAAAGAATATAAAACGAAACTATACTTCACTATCAAAGTTTCTGTCATCAAAATCGACAATTAATTACTTTAATCACAGAAACTTTGACCGTGTAAGCGAACCTTTAATTAAAGTTAAGAGGATATCTCTATTTTCGGCAAAATGTCCGTTCGTCAAACTGTCCGTTCGGCAAAATGTCCATTCGGCAAAATGTCCGTTCGGCAAAACGTCCGTTCGGCAAAACGTCCGTCGGCTATATGTCCGTTCGGCAAAATGTCTTTCGGCAAAATGTCTTTCGGCAAAGTGTCTTTCGGCAAAATGTCCGGCCATCATGACAAACTGCAAAAAAATGAAGATATTTATACCCATACTTTCCTGCAACTTATCCAACATATAGTTAATTAAATATGTCTTTGCCCATTTAGTACTACCAAATTGTAAATTTCGACATACTAAAACGCTGTTTTCTGACCATCAGAATTCTGTCAAATCTTCCCAAAGTCCAGGAAATGGCATTTCAGAGACTCTAAATTTAAAAAGTTCCTCGGGCCTTTGACCCTCGCATCAGACTTTTAGTTCCACACGCGAAACACTTTCAGTATACATAGATTATAGCCATAGGCGAAATCTTTCAGTTTTGAGAGCAAAACTAATTGTTTTGCCGCGTTTGGAAGCTTTCAAAATGGTTGTAAAACTTTTAAAATGGATAAAAATTTACTATTTTTGAACCTCGACCTCGACGTACGACCCTCGATCCTCGACAATTACACAAACTCAAATTATAAGCGTCAACTGCATTTAGGTAATGAGTTCTACAATTTAGCTCCATCACAACAGAAGCTTTTCTTATTAAGTCGAGAAATAAGCGATATAAAAAAAGCTTTAAAAGTTCTTTCAGATAAGGGAATCTAATTTCTATATTCATGCTTTTTCCCCTTACAGGGCCGTTCCTAGACGCGATCATATATTTATGCTCGCTACCGTAAAAACAATCGCTTTCAAAAGAAATCCGTCAGGCAGAAGACGAATATATGAATATACACCCCCAATTATCGCACTAGGAACGGCCCTGTCCCTTTAATTAAACGACTGAACTTGCCCGGCCTCAATGAACATATGGCCGAAGTTTGACGCTTAAACTGAACTGCTTAGAACACAACATGCTCAAATATGAGTATAATTGACTGTTTATAGTAAGTATATATAGCCTTGAATCTAGCTAGCGAGTGTACAAATGTTTCTAGTTTATTCTAATTGGCGCGCATGGTCGATCAATTGAAACAAGATTTTGAAGCAGAAATCTTAGTCTTCATGGAGAGCTTAACAGCGTATTTTTATCTAGAAATAGGAAAACTAGTTTAAAATGATCTACGTCTTATATTTCCTATAAATAACAAGAGAAAACAAGCAAAAATTATTAAGTTTCGACTGTCTATAGACTCTTCCCCTTTAACTTTGGACTTCGATTATGCCGTTTTATTCTCAGTACTAGGTCACCTTCTACTTTTTTAATATAATTTCTAGCAACAACACCAGGAGGAAATACGACAACACCGTCTCCAACCATATCATCTACATCAACAGGTAAGTTATTGAAAATTGAATGGTTAGAAAAAAAGAAGTTTACCTTTTGTTTGCTAGTTTACCTTCTATTTGTTTAATTAATATAATTTCTAGCAACAACACCAGGAGGAAATACGACAACACCGTCTCCAGCTACATCACCTACAACAACAAGTAAGTTATTGAAAATTTAATGGTTAGAAAAAAAGAAGTTTACCTTCTGTTTGCTAGTTTACCTTCTATTTGTTTAATATAATTTCTAGCAACAACACCAGGAGGAAATACCACAACACCTTCTTCAGTTACATCACCTACAACGACAGGTATAAGTACTTGAATATTGAATGGTTAAAAAATAAATTAAATCTTCAGAAAATCTTTCTGATCGCGTATACCTCAGTCGTGCAGGACTGGTACAATAAGCAATTCCAGCTTTTAGTTTATGCGTGCAGGAGGCGATGGGAAGTAAGGTATCATATTGCTAATCATGCTGAAAAAAATAAAAATTGCAACCACGTAAACACGGAGTGACAGCTTATTCTTGTAAATATTGAAATATTTCGGTCGTTTCGGCAGTTTTTATTGAAAATTTTCAGCATAATCAGCAACATGATACCTTACTTCCCGTAATAGCGCATAATTTAAAAGCTGGAATTGCCTATTAAGCTGGATTAGCGCTAAACCGACCTGGTTAAAATTTAACCCGCTGTTTCGGTTTACGTACATTTGCACTCTGTTTATTTCAAACCTTCGGAAAATAAAACTTGTATTGATTCATGCATGAATTGTGGAAAACTATCTTCATGTTTCTAAACAGGCTGGTGGGAAGATTGCTTTGAGATTGGCGTTAACCTAGCATTAAGCTGACCAGCTTTGAAAAAACAATCCTTGTTTAATTGTGTATAGTAAACTAGTTTGTAGTAACCTGGTTTCCTTAATATAATTTCTAGCAACATCAACACCAGGAGGAAATAGGACAACACCTTCTCCAGCTACACCAACAGGTAAGTATATTTGAAGACTCGTTGTTGATCACCATTGTCGATATTGACCTTGACGTGAATTACTTTTTCTTTACCAAATTTGATAGTCAGCTATCTTTAAATTTTTGCCCATGAAAACAATTATTTTATATACTATTTAAACATGAGCAGCAGTGTTTTATCATATATAAAGATACGAGGCAAAGCCGAGTATCTTTAGGTCTGATAAAACACGCACTGCGAAGGTTCCAAATTGCTTCAAAAACGATCGATCTAGTAAGTTCATTGGCGAAGTAATTTTTAACAAATACGTTGTGTAAGTCAGGAAAACAAAAGTTAAACTTTATTTAAATCAAGGCAAATCTCTATCACATAAATAGATATGACACGATTACGATTTTTCTTTGTGTTTCCTCATGAATTATTAATGATGATAATTCAAACTCTAATTCGATAACTCGAACTCTGAACTACTTTTTACCCACAACTTTGTAAATATCAGGATTCTGTTCACATCTCACTCGATTTACAAAAAAAACTTAAAACAATGATCGTGTTGCCATGGCTACTACCATTTGCAAGCAACCGCAAAATCCAAACTTTTTTTCATGTTTGTTTACGTTTCAAACGTACACGATGGGCGGGTCAAACGTGCATGTTGAAACGTAATAACAATTAGTTTGAACCGCGAAATAGCGACGTTTGACAAATCTCGCCGATACGTTTGAACAACGCGAAAGCACGTTCAAGACTAGATATCCTGCGTTTCACAACTCATAATTTCCTGATATTACAATATAAAATGTCTGTACAAATTACAGTCGTGCCAATAGAAGCGTTCCGAACAATTTTGATCAGTTCATTTCCTTGCGTCGATCACAGAACAATTCCTCAATCATTTGAAGAAGTTCCTTAGAAATTTCCTAACTTCCTGTGCAGATAAACCAATCATGTTAGCTGTTGAATAACAACTCACCAATCACGTTAAAGCATTGCTCAAAACGAATTTTCAATGTTTCTGTTTTGACCGTTTGTTAACGTTTAATAAACTATGTTTATTTATAGTTATTACATTTATAATTGAAACTGTTTATATCGCTTCGTTAAAACTAGAACGAAAATTTGTATGTTTCATTAACTGCATGTTGAACTTTGCAATTGTAATGAGGAGCTTTCGACTTTTGTCGAAAATTTTGAATACACAATAAAAAACATGAAAATTCTATGTTTTAATTTATAGGCAAACGTTAACAAACGGTCAAACAGAAACATTGAAAATTCGTTTTGAGCAAGGCTTTAACGTGATTGGTCAGTTGTTATTCAACAGCTAACATGATTGGTTTATCTGCACAGGAAGTTAGGAAATTTCTAAGGAACTTTTGCAAATCATTGAGGAATTGTTCTGTGATTAGCCTGCGAACAGGCTCTCAAGCTCTCAATTCAGCTTGAGAGCCTGTTCGCAGGCTATTCTGTGATCGACGCATGGAAATGAACTGATCAAAATTGTTCGGAACGCTTCTATTGGCACGACAGTAATTTGTACAGACATTTTATATTGTAATATCAGGAAATTATGAGTTGTGAAACGCAGGATATCTAGTCTTGAACGTGCTTTCGCGCTGTTCAAACGTATCGGCGAGATTTGTCAAACGCCGCTATTTCGCGGTTCAAACTAATTGATTATTACGTTTCAACACGCACGTTTGACCCGCCCATCGTGTACGTTGGAAACGTAAACAAACGTGGAAAAAGTTTGGATTTTGCGGTTGCTTGCAAATGGTGTATTATAAAGTATTTTACGTTTCATGCGAGTGTCGTATATTGCGCAGTTTGGACGCTTCTAAACTGTCTAACTCCCTAACTATTTTGCGCACGCGAAGTCCGCATGCAACCGCCCTGAAAAGGAATATCCCTGAAGATATTGAGCCGCAATGACCGCCATAAGAGAGGGGACCTAGTCACTGGTAGCGGACTGTTTGTTTTTTTTTTCATGAAGTAAGACCGGCTACCAGGAAAATACATGCTTTACCTTACTACGGGAGAGAAAATGTTTGAAAAAACTTTGCCACCATAATTGTTGCCTTATTCTCGCCAATTCAAACGACCAGCACGATTTCCACGAAGTCTTCTTACGGGTACCATTAGCACCCTCTAAGCTATGGGTACCATTTGTAACCCCTAACCCCAAGACAAACGATGCCAGTTTTTTGAAAAAAAGGTTTAGATGAGGAAAGTGACAAATAAGCGACAAGGTATTACAAAGAATCAAACAGCAATTTCCAATCGTCGTTCTATTTCGAAAGACAAAACTCTGGCAAAGCTTTTCTTGTACACATCCTGCCTCGTGACCCTGTCTAAACTGTTGCGTTGCTGCACTCGTTATGCGTGTGCTGGTGTGCACAAAGGCAGTATATAGAATATATATAGAACCATGCAATAATCATACACTTAAATGTTCCTTTTTTTTTCCAGATCGGTTTTCAAATTCAGAAGCCGACGAATTTCGGAAGTACAGTTTTTGCAGAGAAAATCATCGTTATAAACTTTCGTTCAAGCTATCAAAGTTTACTACTGACAGAAAATAGATCGAATTCTGCCTCGTACCCAGGCGTCTCTTTGTAAAAAACAGTGATGCGCATAGGACGAGTTTACATGAAGTATTGTAGTGGGGATAGATGGGCGAAGGGGCTGATGGGAAGAGTGCACCCTTCCCAACAGCCCCTTCGCGCGTCGCCTACCTACCCGAATACTTCATGTATTGTAATTATTTAAAGCGCCTGGGTACGAGGCAGGATCGAATTTGTAAATATACTGAACATTTAGACCGCCAGGATTTATGCCGGATTTCATTGTCCCAGAACAACAAAACAAACAATGGCCTGGATACAAGTATCTACAGCCTGTTCGCAGGCAAACAAGAAAGAGCAGTACCTGAAAATAGACATTTCTGTGACCTTTGTATGTCCATTAACTGAATATCCATTACGGGGCCATATTTATCCATCATAGTTTCTTTGTATCCATTTATTATAATCACAAATATCCACTGTCGGCCATGGACATTTGATCAATCCTTCATATGGTATTTTATAAATCAATATTTCATCAGCATGTTCAGTAATGATCTGTAAAACAAAGCAAAAAAAACAACAATAATTAATTCAGATATAAAACTTAAACAAAATTGCTACAAAACACAAATTAAACCGTTAGGTTGCATGCATAGGCATGCTCTACTCGAGTATTTTACTGTCCAACGCTAGACGATTTTATGCTTCATAATGAGACTGCCTATATGTCTAGTTACCCATCAACTGCCAGTGCACCCCCTGCTTAATAAAAATTGTCTGACGTTAGACAGAGTTAAATAATATAAGTAGGAAAATTAGGGTGCAAATCAACTTAATGACTAAATGTGCTGTTTACATGATCCCAGTTTGTCAGGACACAATGAAAGGTGTGATGATTTTCATGCACTGAAATAAATCACTAGGCTTAAACAAAAAAAGTTGTAAACATCACTGCATAATCTCAGAGAAAATTTTCCAAGGATACACTTAATTGCCTTGCACACATTGTTGGTGTATAGTTTATTTGTCAAGCCAGCCAGATAGTTGAATTGCTGTTCTCTAAGATAAATAGGTTGAAATTTCGCAAATTTTAGCCAAGAAAGGTTTGCTAAGCATTACTTAAAAACGTAATGAAATGTTAAAATACTAAATGTTTAAAATACTAAAAGTTCTAAAAATCCCTTTCGACACTCGTTATATTAATTGGCGTTTACTAGTTTCGTCGTTAGACCTCTTCAGAACCCGCCATTTTGTTTCTATAGCTATACTTCATGTAGTTATACTTATTTCTGTCTTATATTTCCACTTGTATTACATGACAAATTAATCTAACACAACTTGTGCTCGTGGAAAGCTATCGCATAAATAGGATTAACTCCTTAAGCTGCAAAGGAACAAAAATGTCTGATATCAGATCATTTTACTCATCAAGAGGCACGCAATGTTTTAGAAAACAATCAAACTAATCTGGACGTTTTTGGTCACATCGCAAACATTGGAATATGGTTTGTGCAACAATTTTGTCAAAAATAGATACTGGATGGTATATTATCAGCAACATAAGCTTTAGTATTATTAGTGATGTATTAAGTCATTTCAACAGCAATGACATTATTGTCATATTGAAATTTCCTTAGCCCAATCATCGCTTTACAAAGGAAGACTGTTAAAAATGTATCCCGGGTGTCCCTCAAAAAAAAACTTGTGCTGTTTGATTAAAAACTACAAAAGCTATATAGCCTGCTTGCCGGGGGGATAATTCCCCCTTGGAAATTCCAGGTGGCAAGCAGGCTACAAAAGCTATAATTATATAATACCTAAGGCTGGGATTACACTATACCGGATTGATTTTCATACCGGATCAATTTTCACACCGAAGCCAAAATCAAGGGTGTTTACACTATGCCGCTTCGCTCTGTCGCCAGCTTGTATCTTTTATCGTTGCCACAGAAACAAATAATAAGTTTTGACCATTTTGGACGTTTTCTCGACAGTACTTGTGAATTATAACTTTGTTTACAAAGCTTGACCACCCGACGTTGCTTTG